ATGGAGTGAAAACCCTCACTCTCTACATGGAATGGAAAACCTCTCTCTCACCCTCACCCATGGAGTGAAAACCTCTCACACCCTCACCCTCTACATGGAGTGAAAACCCTCACTCTCTACATGGAATGGAAAACCTCTCTCTCACCCTCACCCATGGAGTGAAAACCTCTCACACCCTCACCCTCTACATGGAGTGAAAACCCTCACTCTCTACATGGAATGGAAAACCTCTCTCTCACCCTCACCCATGGAGTGAAAACCTCTCACACCCTCACCCTCTACATGGAGTGAAAACCCTCACTCTCTACATGGAATGGAAAACCTCTCTCTCACCCTCACCCATGGAGTGAAAACCTCTCACACCCTCACCCTCTACATGGAGTGAAAACCCTCACTCTCTACATGGAATGGAAAACCTCTCTCTCACCCTCACCCATGGAGTGAAAACCTCTCACACCCTCACCCTCTACATGGAGTGAAAACCCTCACTCTCTACATGGAATGGAAAACCTCTCTCTCACCCTCACCCATGGAGTGAAAACCTCTCACCCTCACCCATGGAGTGGAAAACCCTCACCCTCACTCTCTCCTGGAGTGGAAAACCCCTCTCACCCTCACTTGGAGTGGAACTCTCTCACTCTCTCTCCTGGACTGGTATGACTCTCACTCTCTCTCCCTGGAGTGGAAAACCCCTCTCACCCTCACCTAATGGAGTGGAACTCTTTCTTTTCTTATCCTCTCTCGGATGCCTCTCTCACTCTCTCTTCTTGGAGTGGTATGCCTCTCACTCTCTCTCCTTGGAGTGGTATGGGATTATTTGTCAACAATTGATGGCTGGTGCTAAGCCTAATTGATAGTGGTGAGTCGGTGCATTGGAGATGCAAAAAGGGAGGACATCATGATTTCTTATTGGTGGCTGGCTTTTGTCCAAAACGGTTTGGTGGAGGAAGATATTTCTTCCTTTGTTGGCTAGTATCATTGCATGGGCGGTGGCATGTGTGTTGGCTGATTTTTGGAGACAAAAATTAGCACCTCCTTTTTTGCTATATAAGGTGTGCTCGCATTGCACCAGGGGGTGTGCTGGGATTGTGCACCAGTGAGTGTCTTAGCCGCACCAAGGCTAAGTGGCCTCAGAGGGCATACCACTCCAAGGAGAGAGAGTGAGAGGCATACCACTCCAAGAAGAGAGAGTGAGAGGGGCATCCGAGAGAGGATAAGAAAAGAAAGAGTTCCACTCCATAGGTGAGGGTGAGAGGGGTTTTCCACTCCACAGGTGAGGGTGAGAGAGGTTTTCCATTCCATGTAGAGAGTGAGGGTTTTCACTCCATGTAGAGGGTGAGGGTGTTTCAATCCATGTAGAGGGTGAGGGTGAGATATTGTATACCACTACTTGTGTGAGTGAGGTCAAGAATGTGTGAGAGTATAGTGGTGTTTGTTTTGTACTCTCTTGTTTGTTTACATCAAGCCTTGGGAAGTGGCTTGGTAGGATTGTTCTTGGTGTACTCATTATTCTGTTATAGCCGAAGAAAATTTTATATTGTTGCCTCGTGGATGTAGGCATGGCCGAACCACATTAAATTCTTTGGTTTCACTATTTCCTGCTTGTATTGTTGTTTGAGTTCGTGTTTTCCCATTCTGGCACTACTAACCGATCCTAACAGCTTTAGCTTGGACTAGGATTCCCATGGTCACTCACTTTCCATCAGTTAGTGAGACAGTACAAAGCAAAACTGAGGAAAAGGAAAATACAAATAGAAACCAAAGAAACATATCAGATAATAATTGTTTCTGTGGAGTAAAACCAAAGACACATTACAATGCCCAGCTCAAGGAGTGGATTAAAACTGTTTCTGTGGGTCTCTCCTTTGTGTTTTCTGGATTGATCCCATTTGGTTTGCTATCTGTGTAACATTTGGGAGGCTCTGCCTCGTGGTATTGTCAAATGGAAAATCAGTACCATTTTTCTAGACCAAAACGAAAAACAATAAAAAACTGTTTCTGTGGTTTGATTTTTGTTAAGAAGTGCTTGCTAGAAGACCTTTTAGCCCATTCAGCAACAGAACTTTAGCCCCAAATCTCAACTTTTGAGCCTACTTGCAAAGCATTGGTCATTGGTGGTTCCCCTCTATCCCCTAATTAATCCAAACCCTAATTCAGTCGTCTTTCTACGTTCCATAATGCCAAAAAAAATTCTTTTATACATCATTTAGGAGAAATTTTTTGTTTCAGCGAGTGGACCACATCACTCATTTGGACACCCAAACAAAGGGATTCCCTGAATTAGGGTGAAATTAAGTAATCCCCTTATTTCTGTATGGCCGGATAGATGACGTGGTCCACCAATTGAACAAAAGAATTTTGAATTTCTACTCATCTGGTGGAGGAATTGTGATTTTCAAAGGGAGAATCATTCAGTAGGAGCAAAATATAAAATAAAAGATAAATAAAGAGGGAAAATCATTCAAATTAAAATCTTTGGTGGGTTTCCTACAGTGCCGTCCCTTCTTTAGTGTAGCTAACCAGTGGGTTTGTCTCACCAAGGTCTTTGGTGATACGGTTTTGGAATATCTAACTCTAACATAGTCTACGACGCATTGTCTTGGACAAGTAGAGGGACAATTTACTTACAAAATTTTCCAATTACAGAGCCATTTATCTATTCAAAAAGAGGATGTTTTGCACAGGAGTTCAATCAACTTACAATTACACTTTATTCAACCACAAAATTTCACACCTATATTGAACTTTCAGTATCAAAATTACTTGAATGTACTTAACCATACAATATTTGCTGATGAATATAGCCTAAAATACACTGCAACCTTTAACTTGATCACCCGGTTCTATCTCTTTGGACCTCACCGCTGATGTTTCGTCATTATCAAAACAACTACCAAGTTGAGTAGTTCATAATGAAGATTTGGAATTTCAATTCAGTCAAACTACTCAAAACTGGAATTCGACCTCATTGTGTACTCTGCCACAAGCTGAGCAAAAGATGATGACTTGTTCTCTAGCAATGTTGCAGGAGAATCATATTCCTCAATAAGGCCTGCAACAAGAACAAAGATACATTTAAAAATGAATAAAATTTGAGGTTCAGTGGTAACTAGAGGAAGTTGAATGCATTCATTTGGCAATACTAACCATGACTCAGAAGCAGAACCATGTCACTATCAAGAACAGAAGTTATACGATGTGCAATAGTGATGACTGTACAGTCAGTAAAGTGTTGGCGAAGGGTCTGCTGGATGAGATTATCTGTAGCTGTATCGACCGACGCGGTAGCTTCGTCAAGCACCAAGACCTTACTTTTCTTGAGCAGCACACGGCCAAGGCAGACCAACTGCCTCTGACCCATACTCCAGTTCTCTCCATTCTCACTAACTGCAGCAACCATATGAACATAAACAAAAGAATTTCCATGACGTAAAATGGAATCTAGTGCATCATATATAGCCTGTATCTTAGAGAAGCCATAGAACAAACCTGTAGAATCCAGCTTTCCTTCCTTTCTCCTAACTTCATCTCCAAGTTGACACTTATCCAGGGCCTGAAAAAATTAGAAGACGTTTTAACTAGTCCCACGAATTTAGAACTGCAAATCTATAAATGAAGAACATTTAGTAGGAAGAAGCTTCCTTTCATCAGTGTAAAACCAACCAACCTCCCAAATTTGCTCATCTCTGTACTCTTCAAGTGGGTCCAGATTGCTTCTTACAGTCCCTTCAAACATGGTTGGGTCCTGAGGGATAATGCTCAGCCGAGACCTTAGATCATGCAGTCCAATTGAAGATATATCAATACCATCTATCAAAATCCGGCCAGAAGCAGGATCCACAATTCGGAAAAGG